CCTCAGGGACCCCCACCCCGCATCCCACCGCCCCCAGCACCTACATGAGGTCCCAGTCCTGCTGTGCCCCCTCCAGCTCCTCCATCAGCCGCTGCAGCCGTGCTGGGAAGGCGGCCTCGAAGCGCACGTCGTCCTCGAAGACCACCGACCGCTCCAGCCCCCGCGACACGATCTGCGGGGAGGGGGCAGTGATGCAAACCCATCCCAGCACCGCGCTGGGCCATACTGGGTTCACTCACCCTGCAGGACACCCCTCTCCCCAGGTCCTTGAGAGGCCTGGTGATGCTCATGGGGTCCTCACCTCATGCTGGTGGCCCTTAGGGACCCCGTGACCCCTGCGGCCCCGTACCTCCTTCCAGACGTTGTAGTGGCTGAGGAAGCAGCCGACCTCGCCCTTGGTGAGCGTGCGGCCTGAGAAGGGGTCGTAGTACCCGGGGAGCAGGTCCACCCCCAGCACCTTGATGTCGCTGCTGTTGAGGGTGCTGCAAGGCGAGGGGCTGCATCAGTGAGACGTCCCCCCCAGCCACCCCCCCATCCCCTCCCCGAGGTGACCCCAGGGGGCTGGTGCCCTCCGCTGTGCCCCTCCCACCCACGGCGTCCCCCACCCGCGGGGCGATCTCCAGCTCCCGCAGGGATGCCAGCATGCGCTGGCGCCGGTCCGGCCTCCGCACCAGGTTGATGAGGAAGATCTGGGGAGGAAGCAGAGAGCCCCACCATGGTGGGCTTTGCCATGGAGGGATGCAGCCAGAAGGATGGACAGGGGGACATGGGGTGGGGATCCATTGGGCACTTACTTCATCAAAGCCCGCGGGGCGATCTCCAGCTCCCGCAGGGATGCCAGCATGCGCTGGCGCCGGTCCGGCCTCCGCACCAGGTTGATGAGGAAGATCTGGGGAGGAAGCAGAGAGCCCCACCATGGTGGGCTTTGCCATGGAGGGATGCAGCCAGAAGGATGGACAGGGGGACATGGGGTGGGGATCCATTGGGCACTTACTTCATCAAAGCCCATTTTTGTGAGTGGCTTGGGGAGGAGAGAAATGTGCCTGGAGCGCTGCATGGGGGGGCCATCCACTGCAGAAAGAGGGGACATCCCTTCAGCGGAGCCCAGGCACCCCTGGCTGGGAACTGGGGCCGAGAGCCCTAGGGACCAGCACTAGGTCCTCAGCACTCCAGGGGCCGGGGAACACCTCTGGGACCCCACCGCCCGCGGGCCCTCACCCATGGCCTCCAGCGTGAGATGCACAAAGTTGGCGCATTCGTCCTCCAGCGTCTGGTGGGCCTTCACGGGGACGTTGATGTAGCCAAAGCGCTGCTGGTTGCACACATGGACATCCGCACCTGCCGGGTGTGACGGGTGAGCACCGCAGCCCCCCCAAACCCCCCACCCCTGGCTCCCCACCACCCTCACCAGCCGCCTGGCAGGAGTAGGCAAAGACGATGATGTCGTCAAAGGCCCAGGTGTAGTTGGGATGGGGCGGGTAGAAAGCCAACCGCGACGTCTCCTCCTTCCGCAGGTCGATCAGGAAGGTGGCGTAGACCATGGGGACAGAGAAGCAGCCCACTCGCTGACGGTTCTTGGTGGGGAAGTAGTCAGCTGTCCGGCGGTAGTACCCCTGCAGCACACCGGCGTGATGCCTCCATGGTGGGGGGCTCTTCCACCATGAGGCAGATCCCCTTCCCCAGGGCTTTCTGGGGACGGACCTGGGGCGTGATGCCACACCAGAAGTTGGAGTAGAAGGTCTGCGAGTCCAGCATGGGGGCCACCACTGACTTGTTCTGCGCCATGAGAAACTTGAGGGTCTGGTTGTTGGTCAGGATGCTGTCAGTGTCCACAAACTGCAGGGACAGCGCAGGTCCTGGAGGCGCGGGGACATCCACCTCAGCCCCCACTCCACCAGTGCCCCATATCCCTTACCAGAACATAGTCTGCCCGCTGCTCCCGAGCGTAGGTGAGAGCCTCCTGCTTCAGCCTCATCAGGTTTTCGTAGCGTTTGTCGCTCCAGTGCTTCGGCCCGAGCTCGTCGGGGTAGGAGCTGGGGCAGGGGGAGGCAAGGGTTAACCCTGCTTGCTGGGAACGCACAAACTCGGTGCATGCCGCAGCATGCCAGCCGGCTGAGTCAGCCC